AAATTGGTGAAGGTCCCAGTAATTTTGATGTGCAACCCAGTGGCTAAGATGTCGAGCTTGGTAATTGGAAAGACACTCCTTTCTTGGCTAGCCAGGGAGGAGTTTTGGTAGTTTATTTTGTTGTCCAGGTTATTTTAGGGTTCTAATCCAGATATTGTCTTGTGGCTCAAACCCTTCTTCTTCTTATTTTGCCTAGTTCGTTTAGTTGTAGCAACTCGTCTAGTGTTATCTAGGTTTGTTCCAGGATTGTAACCCATGTCTATTTTGTTTGTTTTGTTCAAACATTTTTCACCATCTGTCTAATACAATCACTTGTTTTCTATGAGTTCTAGTTAGTTTTTGTTTAGGTGACTTTTTCTTTTATAGTTCTTTTCATCCAGATTCTAGTGACATGACATTCACACATAATTCTTAGCCTGGTCTTGAAAGTTAGTTTAATCATGAAGCAATGACACAGTTTTGAACATGATAAAAGAGGCATTTGAGGAAACAAGTAGAGATTCACGCATTGTGAGATGACCTGAAGCTTGAATTGAGTGAAACTGAGGCAGTAAGTCTGGAAAATCAAGAGATTGATAAGAGCATACAACAAGAAAATGCCTCTTAAGCAGTTTGAGGTAAATCAGTCAGTGCTCAAATGCATTCTTTCACATCAAGATAAGGTTGAGTCAAATCTGCTTCGAACTGGCAAGGGTCATTCACTGGGACAAAAGTATTGCCTATTGGCACTTTTTGTTTGCGTTGATGCCGTCAATAGATACTGTGTATGATTTCTTTGCTTATCTTCAATTGCATGTTTGTACTTGGCGTTTTTAAAGTTTGGTATGACGAAGGCATTTTATTCTGTTACCCAAACACTTTTATCTTTTGCTACCCCTTTTTGAGCCTTAATTTGCTTTGTTCCATACCCCTATTTTGGAATTAACCGTAGAGTTGGAAACTAGAAAAGAAAAAAGAAAAGAGAAAAAGAAGAAAAAAAAAGAGAAAAAAAAAGAAAAAGAAAAAAAACCAACTTTGTATTTGAACTATGTTCGACCTGATTCTTGACACCACAAGATACGTAGGTAACCTTACGGTTCGGTCACACCAAATAAAATATTTCATAATCCCCAAAGTCAAGATTGGGGCAGATTTTCTTAGAAATCCCATCAAAGCAAAAATCCAAAAGAAAAGCAAAAAAAAAAATTCACCAAACTCCAAGAAACTGGGGCAGAGGTTTTAATTTTGCCAAAAGACCTGATTCCAAAAGTTGTAATTTTGAACCCTTTCATCTTAAATTATTTTGAGCCTTCATGCCACCCTTTCTTTCTAACCTTGTCCAAAAGCCTACATTATGATCCAAAGAAAGACCTTCCGACCGATCTTTGAGGATGTCAAATCAAGTGTGTGGCGAAAGTATGATCTTCATACATCATGGGTAATACCTTTGTTCTCAGCACAAAGAGAGAAAATGATAAAATGAGAGAGTCTTATCGGTGAAAACCCTCAGGGGCACCGAAAGGCGATGGTGAGTTGAGAAAAGAGCAAAATGAGAGAGGCTTGATGGTGAAAACCCTTCGGGGCACTACAGGTCGACTGAGGATTGTGGATCAGATGGGACAATTGAAGCGCTGAAGCCCAGTTCCACAGCGAAGAGGTACAACAAGAGTTGAATATTAGACTTGCTTGAGAGATTAGGTCACTTAATCCAAAGGTGCATGTCATGGTCATTAGAGTTGGTATCCACATTTGATAAGTTTCTACTTTGTAATTTTCTTGTTAGGTATCATCTCTTTACCTTGTCATTTATTTTGTTCCTCTTATTTTGTTTGAGTCCTTCTTGAGTCTGTTTGGTCAGAACAAGTGAGAAATGACTTCAAAATTTGCTACCATCTTTCCAATTGCACAAAACAGATTTGGCTAGCACATCAAAGTGGCATAAGTCAGGAAAGAACAGTATGCGCACTGAGTTGGTAATGATCAACATGCTTTGGGATTCATGTGAAATGCAAAGGTTCGGTAAATGTCAATTCATGAGCAAAATGCAACAGATAGAGGATATTGGGATCGAATGGAGCGGAGGTGTTTTTTGTGATAAGGGTTGAAAGAAAATGGGTAGTCGATAACAGGCAAGGTCTTCCAAGTTGAAATCAAAGTTATCTTGGCAAGTGCAGAAGCAGCCGCCTTCAAGGTCAAGGCCACAAACTAACCACCGTGTTTTAAACTCACAAGTTTTCTTTGTCTGAAACAGGGATGAAGGCTATATTCATAACAAAGCTTGAATTTTACAGGTGCAATGCCCCAATTCTGCTTACGCATAGGCTATTGAGAAGATCACACATCACCCCTAGGAGAAGCACTTCCTAGTCTGGGCCTTTCAAGTTATGTTTTGTTTTAGGAGACGCACTTCCTAAATTGAGATTTTACCCTTAGGAGATGCACTTCCTAGTCTGGGTATTTCAAGTTATATTTTTATTTTAGGAGACACACTTCCTAATGCTGGTCATTTAAATTCATCCCTAGGAGACACACGTCCTAGTTGGAGTCATTGAAGTTTTACCCATTAGGAGACGCACTTCCTAGTAGGGGTCTTTCAGATTATACTTGTTAGGAGACGCACTTCCTAGCTTTGGTCATTTAAATTCATCCCTCGGAGACGCACTTCCTAGTTTGAGTTATTGAAGTTTCGCCCCTAGGAGACGCACTTCCTAGTTTGGGTCTTTTAGGTTATATTTTTGTTTTAGGAGACACACTTCCTCAATTGAGATTTTACCCCTAGGAGACATACTTCCTAGTTTTGGTTCATTTAAGTTCATTCCTAGGAGGCACACTTCCTAGTTTGAGTCATTGAAGTTCCACTCCTAGGAGACTCACTTTCTAGTCTGGGTCTTTTAAGTTATATTTTTATTTTAGGAGACACACTTCCTAAATTGAGATTTTACCCCTAGGAGACGCACTTCCTAAATTGAGATTTTACCCCTAGGAGACGAATTTCCAAGTTTTGGGTAATTTAATTTCATTCCTAGGAGACGCACTTCCTAGTTTGAGTCATTGAAGTTTTACCCCTAAGAGACGCACTTCCTAGTCCGGGTCTTTGGGGTTATATTTTTGTTTTAGGAAGCGCACTTCCAAAATTGAAGTTTAACCCCTAGGAGACGCACTTCCTAGTCTAGGTCTTTCAGTTTATATTTTGTTTTAGGAGACGCACTTCCTAAATTGAGATTTTACCCCTAGGAGACGCACTTCCTAGTCTAGGTCTTTCAGTTTATATTTTGTTTTAGGAGACGCACTTCCTAAATTGAGATTTTACCCCTAGGAGACGCACTTCCTAGTCTAGGTCTTTCAGTTTATATTTTGTTTTAGGAGACGCACTTCCTAAATTGAGATTTTACCCCTAGGAGACGCACTTCCTAGTTTTGGGTCATTTAAGTTCATTCCTAGGAGACGCACTTCCTAGTTTGAGTCATTCATGTTTTACCCCGAGGAGACGCACTTCCTAGTTTTGGTTCATTCAAGTTTCATCCCTAGGAGACGCACTTCTTAGATTTGGGTCATTTAAGTTCATTCCTAGGAGACGCACTTCCTAGTTTGATTCATTGAAGTTTCACCCCTAGGAGACGCACTTCCTAGTTTTGGGTCATTTAAGTTCATTCCTATGAGACACACTTCCTAATTTGAATCATTGAAGTTTTACCTCTAGGAGATGCACTTCCTAGTCTAGGGTTTTCAAGTTATATTTGTTTTAGGAGAAGCACTTCCTAAATTAAGAGTTTACCCATATGAGACGCACTTCCTAGTTTTGGTTCATTCAAGTTTCATCCCCAGGAGACGCACTTCCTAGTTTGGGTCATTCAGGTTTTATTATTAGCAGACGTATTTGCTAGTCAAAGTTTATTGGTTTTACTTACAGGAGACGCACATCCTAGTCGAGTCTTTAGCTTACTCTCATCATTGCATCAATAGCATAAGTGGTTTACGATTTTGCTAACAACTCACAGATCTTCCTAGTGCAAACTAAGGCAGAAAATTTTGTTTATTTTGTTGTTTTGATCGCATGCGCCCACCTGGAGAACGAGAGAATTCATTTCAAGTTTCAAGAAAGTCGTAGGCGCCCACCTGGAGAACGAGGGAATCCATTTCAAGTTCTTTTCAGAGTCACTTCAAATTTCAAGTCAATAGCAGGCGCCCACCTCAAAAACAAGGGAAGTCATTTCAGAATTTAATTCAAGTTAGAAGTAGCAGAAGCTCGCGGCAAAAATGCGAATCAACAGTCCGAGATGACCAACAGAAGTAGTCTCAATCCAGAATAAAAGAAAGAAAAAAAGAGAGAAGTGAATCCAAAATGCAGAAACAGGTGAAAGATGTGAACTGCTCAAGACATGGTTGAAGTTATGAGCACTGCATGCCCGGTCTTGATCCAAAGAAGTCGTGGAGGAATGAATCAATACCTGTAGCTAGCAAGCATCAAGCTTCAAATCAAAAAGTCTACATGAAGAACCATTCAAGACTCAAGATCAAGCTTCAGTAGACTTGTAGATGGGGATCTTGTAACTCATAGCTGATAGGCTTGCTTAGTTCTTTTAGATTTTGATTTGATGTAATAACCGGACCGTAGATCGGAACTTCGACGGCACCTCAATCGGGTCTCTACCTCGGTACACTCCATCACTATTCCTACCTCTGGACTACACATGGCCTAATTCCTTTATAGCCAAGGATATGTAGGCAGCTCAGATACTAGGGCTCGGTCACATTTTCCCCTCTTTTAGTTTTTGGTCCCTCTAAATAAGGGTCGAGTCAAAAAACCTGTCTCGTCGTTCTTTGTCTAAAAACTCTTCGTGTTTCTAGTCAAAGAGGGGCAGCTGTAGACATGTAATTTTGACCCTCCTCGAAATTTTACACATTTTAGTGTTTAGATATTTAGTTTAGGTCTAATATTGCTATTTAAACTAGTTTTGACTCTTTTGCTTTACTTTATCTAAAAGAATGAAAATCACAAAAATATTTTCCTTTATTCTAGTTAATTAGTATTTTATCTAGTTACTTTTAATTTATCATACTTTCAATAAAACTAAAAATACTAAAATAGTTTTGACATTTTGTTCTTCAAAAGATAAAAAAGCAAGGCTTCAAAAAAAATATTCTTTACATAATTTAGTTATTAATAGTAGTTATTTAATAGTATTCTGATTTCTTTAGTATAGCTAATTTGTTTTTTTTCTTTCTTTAATACTTTTTTTAGATAATTATTATTTTTTGTCTAGCAAATTTTAAGTTTATCTTACTAGTGAAATTGAAAATTACCAAAAAATAGTCACATGTTTTTAAGTTTTATTATATTAGTAGTAGTTTTGTTGTAGTGCTATTTTAGCTTCTTTGAAATAAAAGTAGTTGGTTTAATCTTATTTCAACATTTTGGGGTAAGGAGGAACTAACAAAATTTCTTTTAAAATTGCTAAGATTCCATCTTATCATGGATAACAAACTTTCTTTCTAAAAATTTTTTATAAGATCACTCACGCCAATTTCCTGTACACCACATTAGTAATGCATTTCATTTTTTATTTACATACAAATTACTTTTCTCTAGGCAGTAAGGAATTCACTGCACCACCATATTGAGATTTCATTTTTTATATTGTGGGGACCACATATTTTCTAGACAGATCTTTACTTCTTTTCCAAGCACACACAGTCCATGGTAAGATATTATATAAATGGCCCATACACATCACTTAGAGAGAGGGGAGAGACGGAAAAAAAATCCCTAGCGCCGCACGCCTTCAAGAGCTAGCAACGACCAACCTTTCTTCTTCATCTCCAAGACCATTTAGCTGCAGAATTCCTCTCTCTTCACCACAAAATCAACCCTAACTCCTCTACCCCAAGAGACAACCGCATACCCCATCTCCAACCGCCCACCTTTGGCCATCTCGTCGGAATTCGACACCAAAAAAAGACACACGCACACACAGGCACGGATAGAGCAAAGTGACGGAAGAACTCAGAGATGGCGGTACCACTACTGTTTTAGCCAAAAGTCCCTTCACCGACTCAATTTCGAGCTTGAGTTCCGTCGAAGTCGCCGGTGTAGTTTCACTATTGATAGGTGGTCTGTTCGTTGGTTCCGTTCTTAGTTCGAAGGTCTGATAGCTGTTCCTTGCTCATTTTTAGATTTGTTTAATAATACACATTGTTCGACTTTCAGTCCAGTTATCGAAGGTGACCATTTGCTAATTTGAGGTCCACTCTTATCTTTTTCTTATCTATTTACTCTTCTTTAGTTTCATGTACGCGATTACTTGGTGATATTATTTTGTTGATTAATTTCGTGAGTGTCATGTTTGTTTGTTAGTGTCTATTATTGAAATATTCTGCTCAAACAAATCTTTGGGTTCAGTTCCTTTATTTGATTGATCGTTCTACTTTTTTTGTTTTTGTTTTTTTGGTAATTACTTCTTAAGTAAATAAGATAAACGGGCAGTGGAGGTTTGAACTTAATTAAGGAGAGTTGAACAACTGTTTGAGATTCAAATGATTGTTTGGCTGGAGAAAAGAACTCAATTAAAGATATTAAAAAGGATATTAAAAAGATACAAATGTTGGGCCTGAGACGAAATTGGGGAATGGACTTAATTTTGTTTTTATTTGTATTTTTGCCTACATGGGTTTGGTAGTAATATGTTATAGACCAACCACGCTTGGATAGACAAACTTTAGGATTTTGTTTGTTTAATTTTGAGAGGTCACCCCATTTAGTTAAATTTATCCGGGGTATGCCCTGTAGACTTTGTATAAATTTATCCGGGGTATGCCCCATAGTATTTGTATTCGGAGACCGAAAATAGAACTTGTAGTATCTTTATTTTCATTTTTCTATTTCTTTTATTTAGGTGGGGACGACCTCGGGCCTCTTTTGTGTTTATTTTTCTTTTTGTGATTTTACCTCAATTTGAATATTTTAAAAGCCAACTAGATTGAGTACGCAACCGTGAGCTTCACGGGACTTGGGGAGTGCCTAACACCTTCTCCCCGAGTCAAATGAACCCCCTTTACCCAAATCTCTAGTGCGAACTTAGTTTTGGAGTCCAAAGTATTTTAACAGAAAACTTATTTTTAAAAAATAGTGACCTGGCACACCGAAACCAATGTTAGGTGGCGACTCGGAAATATCTTTTGAAATACAATCCTTTGTCACTTTCATAATTGAAAACCTTTTGAGCTTTACAAATCCCTTTTATTTATTTAAGAGGGTAGTGAGGTTGTAAAACAGGGGGTGTGACATGTAATACCAAGGTCCTCGAGATCGGGCACCATCTCGAGGCTAAATTGGTGTCGAAAACTCCTTAGAGCTTTTATCCACTTTGACAAAGATCCTCGAGGTCGGACACCACCTCGAAACTTAGATTGATATTAATGGCTCCTTAGACCCTATAGTTATGGTAGCAGAGATCATCGAGATTGGGCATCATCTCGATGCTGGATCGATACGGGAATCTCTGACCCCTCGAACGTTGTTCGACAACTTTACTTGTATGGCATGACCATGAAGCTCCCGGGATGGCCCATTGGTACATTTTTCCGAAAGTGATAATGGCCTAGTCAGAAGTAATTAGCCTTTAGAGTAGGCGGACAGTCGCCGATTGATATATATATGAGTTTGCTTCCTCCCTTTTTGGAGATTCCGCTATTTTGAGTCGCTATCCCTTTTCATAGAGTTCTTCTTCCTTGCGTTAGCCTTTCCATCATTTTAATTCAAAGCTTTCACCTGAGTTTTCATCTTCCTTCTATTGTTTTATAATAGCCATGGTTGCTATGCCCGAATCCGTTCACCAAGAAGAGGAGGGTCCTGCCTCTTCTTCCCGCTCAATCGGTGGTACACCACCGACGTTTGGCGAGCCAACCTCAAGATGCTTTGTCTCTATGAGGGACTTTTCATTAGAGAGATATCCCAATGTCGGGGGTCATTGGGATCATGCATCAAGGTTCACTTCATCAATAGGAGAGGAACACCTCGAGGCAGTGAGAAGAGACTGTGGATGGGGAGAAAAGGTGGTACTGCAGGTACCTTCCCCAGAAGAGAACATCTTTCACGGCTCATACAGAGAGGTGTTTACACATATACACTTACCCCTTCATGTTGGGCCCTCTCGATAGAGTCGTGTTTGACTTCTGTCGACGATATTGGCCTACCCTGGCACAGGTTCACCCATTGTTCTGGAGGATAGTACTGATGATGAGGTTATTTGCGAAAGAAGCTAGGCTCGAGTTCACCTTTAGCCATCTCATCAGATTGTACTGACCCTTTCATTGTTGAGGCCTGATAGCTTTGCGATATTGATCCACCAGGCCCTTTGTTGTCGATGATGAAGAAGATGGGGACCGAGGGTGGATGGATCGATTTGTCTAAGTAAGGACTGTCGATGTTATCCTCGTGGAGTTCCTGCCGTTTCCTAAGAAATGGAATGTCACACGTAAGTGGTACACTTGTGTTTTTATAGTTTTTTCTCATAGTGGAGACGGATTCTGTAAATACACTTTCTTTTTCTTTTTTGCAGCAACCCCGTGGATGCCATACGAGGTCCCCGACCTGACGGATTTGGCTTGGAAGCTGGCGGCTCGCTCGACCTATGATAAGCGTAAGTGGCGAGATCTATGCAAGGGTAGATCAAAGGCAAAACATCATGGTACGTACTGTGTGGCTTGTTTTCTTTGAAAGGTACTTTTTTTATGTGTACTAACTCCATCACCGCAGGCGTCGGAGAATTTTTTGAGATGAGACCGTTCCCCCTCGGGGAGGAGGAAGAATCGTCGGCTTTAGGGTCGAGTAACGATAACAAACGAAATGAGTCCTTGAAGGACGAGGGTGCTCATAGCGAGGCAAGCCCTGCTCGGAGACTCAAAGAAGATATATCCGCTGAGCCTGCGGCATCTGAGGCTTCTAGCCTTGGAAAAGTGGTTCCTCCCATGCTGCCGTCTTCATTTCCTGTCGAAGGTACTTCGAGGGAATCGTCCTCCCCTCCTGTCGAAGGTACTTAGAAGGATGATCGAAATCAGGGGCCGCCTAAATCAAGCAGGGTCTCAAGCGACCATGTCCCTACCGAGATTAGTTCAACTGGGGCCGGTGGGACCAGGCCAGTAGATGCATGCTCAACCTTTGAGGAGGCTCAACGACTTTGTTTGCTGGTGAGCTTTGGCTGGTCTTTTAATTTTACATTTTTGTTTTCTCATTGAGCTTCTTTTTTCATAGGCCTTTGATAAGCTCAAGTCCGAGCTGCTCCGCTGTGAAGCCAGTTTGAGGAAAGCCTTGGATGGGGAGAAATCCCTCAGGCTTCTTTGTGATAAAAGGGGAGATGAGTTGGTATACCTGCGGTACAAGGCGAATCGGATCCTGAACTACGAAAGCCACCTTGAGAGACAGGTAACCTTTTCTCCGAGGGAATGCATGCTTCTTCTCCTATCTTCAGAGATTAATATTTTGATACTTTAGTTGCAGATCAAGACAGAGGATCTGGAATGCCAAGGGGCGAGGTTGGCCAGGCCAAGCGTGAGTGTAACGAGCTAAAGGCTTAGATAGATGCCCATATTGCGGCCAAGAAGAATACTTTGGCCAAGGTTTTTGCCCTTAAGGTACAGCTCCAGAACGCCCGTGAAAATAGCTCAGTTCAAACGAGCAGAATTGCAAGGCTCGAGTCTGACTTTTGGAGATGAAGGCCGAGGTCGTGGACACCCGGGCTGAAGCTGAATAGATTCGGGCTAAGGCAAACAAGAAAGTGGTCGTCTATTTAAAAGATGATGCTGATGCTCGAGCTAAGTTGAGAGGTGCTTTCGATAGAGAGAGTAGAAGTAATGAATATGCCCGGTGTAAATCTCGGAGGGAAACCCTCGAAGAGATTCACGCTAGGGGCTTCGATCTCTCGGAGGAGATAGCACAGGCCAATGAGGATGAATACAACGCCAAATTCCTCGTATCTGATGCCGAAGATAATGGAGAAGAGGTCGATTGGGCCGCAATCCCCGGGGGGAAAATAGACCAGGCTTTTTCTTTTTGATTCTTTGTATAGTGCTCTTAGAGAGCATTTGCAAATGTAGCCTTGCATTGTTTCATATGTGTATAAATAAAGTAACCTTTCGATTTTCGCCTTCCATGAATTTCCCTTTGCTTGAGTATGTTTTTCTTTGTTTTGAACTTATACGTTCGTCGATCATTGTCCAGGTGAACTGGACTTCGAGGTAAAACCCTAAGGTTTGCAAATCGGCCTTGAGGCTCGTTGGGCTGGCTTGTAGGCTCTTACGCATTTCCCCTTAGGCATTTTTAGTTAACTATTTCGGGCTCAGTTTTCGAGTCGGATTTTGACTCGAGCTCATTGACCCTTAAGTTTTTGAATTTTAAGCTGACTCTTAGGCTCTTATACGTACGGTCGGTACGACCTTTAATTTTAAGCTGGCGACAGTGGCTCTTACGCATTGGGTCGGCACGACCTTTAATTTTAAACTGGCGACAGTGGCTCTTACGTATTGGGTCAGTACGACCTCTAATATAGGCTGGTGACAGTGGTTCTTATGCGTTGGATCAGTATGACCTCTAATATAGGCTGGCAATAGTGGCTCTTACGCATTGGGTCAGTACGACCTCTAATGTAGGCTTTATTTTTTCCTCGCTAAAGACTTTTTGAAGTTTTGTGTTCGCCCGGCTCTTCGATGACTCGATAAGAACCTCGATTGTGAATCATTGTATAGCGATAAATGAGCACCTCGGGAGGTTTCGCATGATGGCTGAATTACCATTTTTGAAGCCTATTGTTTGGAGCTTATATGATCGAAGCTCTTTTGTTTATGCCAAGGGTAGCCTGATTAATTGATTCTTTTCGAAGTTTTTTCAAAGTAATTGAAGGCTTGTGATTTTGTAGCAATGGTCGGGTGTCCCCGAGTTGCGTGAGTTTGTCTGGAACCTTGTGAGCGGAGTCATTGTATTTGGCCAGAGCCTTTCAGTCCCCGAGTGAAGTAGTTTCAGCGTTTACATCGAGGGTATGCCTTTTTAGGGGTCTTACAAGTTCGAATGTATAGCCTTAACTTTAAGATCGGGATTTATGCCTTTTGTAAGGTCTTATAGATTTGGTTACTGGGTACAAGTATAATTCACGCCTTGCTTGAGGTCTTACAGATTTGGTTACTTAGTACAAGTATAATTCATGCCTTGCTTGAGCTCGAGGTTGCCCGCATGGGGTCTTATAGCCTCGGGTTTTCGACAAATCGATGGGGGTGACAGTCGGCGACAGTCCCCAAGTCATCGAAAGTTTCTTGGCTCCGGAGCCGTTCCTTGTAAACTTAGTATTGCCTCATTGAGGGCTTACGAGTTCGAAGTTTCGGACCCGGAGGTCATGTGGCCTCGAATTTTTGGCGTTAGTCCCCGAGTGTTCGGGAAATTTCTGGCTCTGGAGCCATTTCTTGTAAAAGTGGCATACTTCTTTGAAGCTCAAAAAGTTTTGATGGAGGGAAAATATTCTTCGATTACCTGGTACAAGTATATATGTTTTTGCCGTAAAGGGCTCAATTATTCTACGCGGACATGGTTCATTCGACTGTTTGGCCCGATACATCATTTTCCTATTGAGACCCTTTTTGGCTCATCTTGACTTCTTCGAGAAGGTGATCTTCTGGGGGGATGCCCCCCAGTGTTCGAGGTTGATCGGAGAGAAGCCTTGAATACTTGTTAAGTTCTCCTTAGGTAGCATATAGGTGTTGCCTCGTTAAAAACCTTATCGGTAAATCCCTTCTTGGGATAAAACCCGATCGAAGGAAAAGAGTGCAACGTATACTTTAAAACCTTAAGGTCTTCAAGTTGGACAACACTTCGACTGTTCTGATTGGACATTTGCACAAAGGTTAATGTAAGATGTAAATAAAAGGGATATGGTTATACCTCAGTGGTGATGGCGCTTTGAGCCTCGATATGCTTCAAAAGTTTGCTTCGAGGACACGGCATGGTCCTTTGCTTGTTTTACTCGGGTGTAGCCGAGAATGTGTCTCACTATTTCTACTTCACTGTTTGCTTATCCTTTGGCTCCTTCGATGTTGGGGGTGTTGACGCCGGTGCCACATCGTGTACCACGAACATTTCCCTCGCTGCATGTTATTCCCTATACATGGTTTTTATTTCGTCCTTCATTGGAAACTTCATCATTTGATGAAGGGTTAATGGTATTGCTCTCATACAGTGTATTTATGGCCTTCCGAGCAAGGCATTGTACCTTATGTCTCCTTCTATGACATGGAATTTGACATTTTGGGTCGTGCCGGCCACGTTGACTGGGAGGGTGATTTCCCCTTTCGTTGTTTCGCTTGCCATGTTGAATCCGTTAAGGACTCGAGAGGCGGGTACGATCTGATCGAGCAGTCCGAGCTGCTCCAACACCCTTGACCTGATAGTGTTGGCCGAGCTACCTAGATCCACAAGCACACGCTTAATTTGAAATGTATTCACAAGAAAAGAAATTACCAAGGCATCGTTATGAGGTTGAGACAGGGTCTCGATGTCCTCGTTGCTGAATGTGAGAGAATCTCCGGGTATGTAACCCTGAGTTCGCTTCTCCCTGGTGATGGATATTTTTGTTCTTTTGATAATGGGTTCCTACGGGATGTCGATTCCTCCAATGATCATGTGGATGACATGTTGCAGCTTATTTGTCTCATTCTTCATGTTCGCCTCTCTTTCCCGGAATTGATTTTTGGCTCGGTCGCTAAGGAACTCTCGGAGGTGCCCTTTGCTGAGTAGCTGGGCTACTTCTTCTCGGAGTTGTCTGTAATTTTCGGTCCTATGACCGTGTGTGCTGTGAAATTCGCACATTAAGTTGGGGTTCCTCTGCGACGGGTCTGATAGTACAAGTCTTGGCCACCTGGTGTCTTTGATTTTATCGATGGCAGATATGATGTCTGAAACGTCAACATTGAAGTTGTATTCCGACAGGCGGGGTGCCTCTATCGTTCCTGTGTGTCTGTCGAATCCGACTCTGCTCACGATTCCCCGAGGATTCTGACCTCGGTCTGTTCTTCGATCATTTCGGGGTATGTTATGCCTTGGGGAGTTTCTCCTATCTTCGGTGTTTGGTTGGTACCTTTCTTTGTTTGGCTTTGGCTCATTTGTCAGGAGTCTTCTTGTGTATACCGAGCCCGATGGGGCTCCCAGTTGGTCGTCCTCGACCCTGATCTTCGATTGATATCGGTTATGGACATCCGACCAAGTCACGCGGGGTATTCAACTAAATTCTGCTTCATCTGCTTCGATGCCACCGAGCTTCATTCGTTTAAGCCTTAGGTGAAGGCCTGTACTGCCCAGCCATCGGATACTGGTGGTAATTCCATTTGCTCCATTTGAAAGCGAGATACGAACTCCCGCAACATCTCGTTTTCTCTTTGTTTGATTTTGAAGACGTCGGATTTCCTTGTAGCCTTGATGGCACCGGCATGTGACTTTATAAAAGAATCTGCCAGCATGGCAAATAAATTTATTGAATTTGGGGATAGGTTGTGATACCAGATCATAGCCCCTTTTGAAAGTGTTTCCCTGAATTTCTTCAACAGGATGGATTCGATCTCGTCGTCCCTAAGGTCGTTTCCCTTCACGGCACAAGTGTAAGTAGTGACGTGCTCGTTAGGATCCGAGGTCCTGTTGTACTTCGGGATGTCGGGCATTCTGAATTTCTTCGGTATGGGCTTCGGAGCCGCACTTGACGGGAATGGCTTTTGTACGAACTTCTTCGAATAAACATCCTTCAGGATCGGGGGTGCGCCCGGGATCTGGTCGAACCTTGAATTGTAGGTCTCCACCTTTTTGTCATTAGCTTCTATCATCTTTTCGCCCGATTTAATCCTCTTTGTGAGGTCTTAGAGCATCTTCATAATAGCGGGGTCGGCCGCCGACCCATTGTTACTCGATATTTCCGGTACCTGCTCGGCTCGAGGAGCCGTCTCCGGTGCGCTTGTAACATCTCAAAAATAACGTGAAGGCTAACCTTGTGCTCGCCTCGCACTGGGATTTTCTGATCTTATTGTTGGTTTTATTGGCGTATACTCCTATTGGTGTGGTAGCTGATATCGACGTGTTGAGCGTTGAGCGGGATCACATCTACGGGAATTGGTTCTTCAGGGTTTCGTGGTGTTATACCAACACCTGGAACAACTACACCATTCTCTTCGTGGTCCTCCAGACCGTTGTTTTCATGTGCGTTTACTGAGTTAGATAATTTGACCTGAAATCAAAGATTCTTGGACAAGAAAAAGTGTGAAAGATAACTTGCGTTATATAGTAAACCAGCAAGAAAACAATCACTATTATTTTTAGTCCCACGGTGGGCGCCACACTGTTTACATTGAAAATAGTAATTAAAATTAGATTTGATTTTGTGGTTCTAAAAATACGTGATTTATTTTTATACTAGTTGTTAGGCAGTAGATACTAAGTATGAGACTAAAAAATGAGATAAGAACTTGAAAGAAATATGTTTAGGCAAACCGAGTGATTAAGAATCGGGGCCTCGAAACAGGTTATACGGGGCCTCGAGGTCGAGCTCGATACTAAGTTGTGGACAACCGATGAAGGACTAACAGTTTTGAGAGCTTTGATGAAGGCTCTCTATGATCAATAGTGGGCAGTAAATGAAGAACAATTAATGAAACACAATAAATGTAAGCAATAAATGTAAATAATATAATCAAGAGAGAATGTGTTTAAGTTAGAGAGCAGAGAATGTTCTTCTTCTTGTATTAGATGTTGTATATGTGTAAAAAAAATGATAAGGGTCCCCTTTATATATGAGGGGGGAATCCCAACATAGTACAAATACATTTATTACAAAGGTATATGGCTGGTACAACTATTTAATGCTACGGTACGGGCTCATACTAGCCTAATAGACTTGGTCAGCCTAAATCACGTGTCCTGGAACTTCCCATTTTTACATCATAACCACTGATCTGCACTGTCCCGAGGTTAATTGTTGATAACCCCTCGGGTTGAACCTCGACCATTGTCTCGAGCCTTTGGAGACGTGCCTACGAAGCGTCATAATGACTATAAAATCGGACCCTCTGATTTTTACCGCATATAGTATCATTTATGATTCTTGCTTCTATTACCGCGTCAAGGTTAGTTACGATACTTATTGAGTACATAAGGTCGGTTATACTCATACTACACTTATGCACCTTGCGTGCAGATCTTGGAGCTTGAGATGATGTGGATGACGAGAGTCGGGAGTTGGCACCGAAGAAGTACATGCGTTTCGGATATGGCTACCATTTTTCCTTGGTAGCTTTAGATTTGAATTCTGTTTATGTACATTCCAAACAGATGTTGTAATTATTTTGTATCAGTTTTGTAAATTCTAAATCTTAGTGGCTCATGACTTGTACTACCAGTCATTGGGTTTTTGTATAGAGCTTCAGTTATTTTGCATATTGACTCATATTATTTTCATTTGAACTGAGTTTATTGTCATTTGGCTTACCTAGCGGGTTGAGTTAGGTGCCATCACGACTAGTTGGATTTTGGATCGTGACAACAAGAGACTATGCTTTTGAAATTTATGTTTAATTTACCTTCCATAAAGTTATAAGTATACATTTTTTATATGATAATACGAGTTAAAATATTTGGAGCCCATTTAACAGAATGATAAAGACTCGACCCAATTTCTTTGTTAGTATGGTCAGGAAATAAGCCAATGAAGCCCCCTTTTTGCCTTGACTTCTTGCCAAACTCTTTATGATAAAATTTGGTGGGCTAGTTACTTTTTGGGAATTTATCCTATATATACTATAATAGAAATTTATTTAGCTATTTTTTCTAGGTTTTATAGTTTTCAATAAGAATCTTGATTTTTCTTACAAATTACGTACATTCCTCTTAAAAGGCTCTTACACTATTATTAGTCCCTTTAATTGAGAGATTTGATTATATCCTTTCCTCTTTCTTTTTTTCTCTCCTCTTCTCTCTATCCTTCTTCTTCTATGCAGATATGCGCCTAATTTTTTCATTTTATTTGCCTGACACACTCATTCATAAATTGGTCCATTCGAAGACCAATAATACATATGATTCTCGATCATAAATACATACAATTAACATAAGCATAGTTCTTAAGCATTTTGATACATAGCGAGACTCGATGTCAATTCAACATTGAATTATCTTCTTGTCTGAAATTCTATGGCAACAATAGCAATCATGTTTCAAAAATAATAAACAATACTTATTTTTTGTGGTGATTCCCAAAAAAGGAATCTTATACAATTTTAAAGATCCATCGCAAAAAATCACAGGAAATTTGAGAATTTCTACCTATCACGTTTCTACTCTAAAAGGCCGATACAATTATGGTATAATATTATACTTGTATCAGGTATGTTTCATATATTGATGCATCAGATAGAATGATTCTGATACAATCCTAAAAGAATTTGACACAATTCTGATACAAGTATAATACAACTTAAAATCAACTCTAAACTTAAATTGATACAATATTGTATTATATTTGTATTAGTATTGTATAAGATATTATTTTATATATTGATGTATCATATACAAGTAGATACATTAATTGTGCTACAATTCTAAATAATTGCGATACAATTTCGATCTTCATCTTCTTCAAGTTTCAATATGAAAATTCAACCTAAAACCAACTTTAGACTTAAATTATGATACAATACTTTATTATACTTATATTAGCACTGTATCAGGTATTGTTTTAGGTATTGATGTATCAGAAATAATTTATATACAAAGCTAATACAATTATGATATAATTATCATACAATCGTGATACAATTATGAGACGTCTTCCTCTTTGAGTTTCAGTCTGAAATTTCATCTAAATCCAACTCTAAACTTAACCAATATCCTTCAAAATTGAGATATAAACCCAACGAATATTTTCGATTGTTTGCAAAAACACCCAATCTAAATAAATCACAAATTGGTAAAACTAGAATATCGAATTCAAAGCTTCATTGTCAATGGCGAACCTTCTGCTGCTATAAATTTAGAGATAATGTTGATGGATTTGTCAATGGTTGAAGCTTTTTAATGGTTGTTGGTGGAATTGATTTAGAGAAATATATAATGCTACAATTTTAGAGAGTTAGTCACTTGATTTATGTGAAAAAGAGAGGTTTTGGTTGATTTGTGTGAAAGAGAATAATTTTGAAATCTTTTGAAATTGCGAAGAAAATCGTGCTTGTATGTGGGGAATTAAGGTAGCAGACGTGGAGAATAGGAAGGGGGAGGGTTACGGTTACAACTAATCCCTAAATTTAAGGAATCCTTCTTTTATTAGGGTTTATATAGTAAGTATGGATACGCAATATAATTTTAAGGAACCTGAAGAAAAATGGTAAATGAGTTATTACTAGGTAAAATCCCTTAGTTTTTGCACTGCTATTCAAATTTTAGGCGTCGTTTGAAATATAATATAATTAAAAACTATTTACTTTTTAATTTGAAAATAAAATATGAAAGACAAAATACTCTGCATAAGACCCTCAAAGAATTTATGATATTTGGAAGAAATATGAAGAAGAATATAAAGCAAAATGCTCATAATACATGAATGGATGATGTAGAGAAGATTTCTATTTTGTGGTCATCCACATTCTGATCTCTAGAATGGCAGCAGTGATGAACAAAATAAATAGAGTAACAGCAAAACCAACATTCCAAGCAGTCCCTGCATCTCCTAAATAGATTCCATAGAAAATATTTACTGCTGCCAAAAGTATCAGAACCCTTCCCAGTGTGTAATGGTACCAATTCCAATATTTTCTCATTTTCGATTCCTTGCCTGGTCGAGCCAAAAATGCAATAACCTAACCATATAAACAAATAGGCCAGTTTGATCTACTAGAGTCAAATATTTGCTAACAATAACTGAAACAGGGTAATTGTAAATTTAGTCATAAATAAAACAAACCTGCAAGCAACCAAGAACGAGAATGAAGATGCCAAGGGCTTTGTGTCTATCAACATCAACACTAAGACGATCTTCGAGAATAAAACCACAGATAATACCCGCAAATCCAAGGAGAAAGCCAAGTGATTGAATGGTGGTGTGAGAGTAAAACCATATTGGATCATATTGCCTCAAGTATCTTGCAACCATTGCCCCTATTGGTATCACAATACCCCAGCTAAACATGTTTACGAGTCCATGACTTCTCCTCAGATTTGCATAAGGGGTCTTTGATTCACTTTGACCTGTTGCACAACATCACAAAATTATCAAGACATCTCAACTAATGAATTTATTAAATTAACATGATATTAATGCGGATGTCCTGAATTCGAGACTCAGTCATCAGCATAAGTAATATATACATTATCCGACTGAAGATGTACATCATTTACGAAACATTCTATGATAACTAGATGAGATGTACATAATAAAATAAAATATCAGGCCTACTCCAAATTCTTTTTAGTTTTTTCTCACCCGGAGTTGAATTGGGAAAAGTCCACCAAAAGGAACAGTCGTTGCAGGTGACTTCTTTAGAATAATTGGCACGTTCATGGCAGCTTAAACTTTTCTTCTTCTTTTATACTAGCGAGATTTGTTCAAAGATTGGTTGTAAATAAAATAATACCTTCTCCAACCTGAACTAAACTTAAAACGTACATTGACATAAACAGGAGTACAACTCATTCTGACATTGGAGCTAGATTACAGTTGCAATTCAATGGATGTGAGTTGTAGAAACTAGGATTTGACTTTATTGGTTTTGGATTCAGGATAAGTTTTTTATACTCCCTCCGTTTCAATTTAGATGAGTTAGTTTAGCACAGAGTTTAAGAAAAGAAAAAAAAAGACTTTTAAAACTTGTTGTCTTAAAAGCTTTGTAGGGTCATGAAATTTGTGTGGTTATAAAAGCTTCTCATTAAGGGTAAAATGAAGAGTTTAAAGTTGAATTATTTTCAATTGTAGAAATGTGTCATTCTTGTTGGAACAAACTAATAAGTAAAGTGTGTCATCTAAATTGAAATAGAGGAATTACAAATTAAGTGGACTTGTAACACAAACATTATTGGTAGTTTGGGCTAAAATTAGTGAATTTGTAGTCTAATGTTTGTATATCTACATTATTTACGTGCAGGATTAGAACACCACTAAATATCTTCCCTTTCCTTCTTGCATCTCCCTCCCCTGCTATTCCCAAACCTTGTACTAATAGAGAAGTGGGAAAACTTTACTCTAACGGTAGTGGTCAGGTCAATTTGAACTAATTTAATTTGCTATTTTCACATACACACGTATAGTTTTACTTATCAAAATTTCAAGTGATCTAAGATTTTGTCTCTATCGAAATTTGCGCTCTATCTCCATAACTTTTACCCATTTCAGTACCACTAATCAAAATATTCTGTGTGTTCTAAGTCTATATTAATCAAAATATTCTATGTGGAAGGCATGTTGAAGATAGATTATAATCGTATTATTATACATATACTGTAGTAGTTAGTGGTAGTTGATAAAGTAGTTGGTCACCGGCGATAAAAAGCCAAAACGCTTTCATCACTTGCCGCGTAGACCCCTACCCACCCCCTTGGTATGGACTTTTTAATAAACACATAAATTAACTAATTACGAGCTACAGGATGTTTAATTTTCAAATTAATTTAGCTTCAAATTAAAATTATAGAAGCTCCATGATACAATAGTTTGTAAATTTTCTCCTATCACTTATCAGTAGAGTTAAAGACACGCGACGTGCGAAGAATAGTAAAGAAAAAATTAATCATGTTAAATTAAGAAAACTTATCGAAATTTAATTTTAATTTGAATTTCGAGAAGCTTCTGGAAAAGCAACAAACATTTTCTTACGTTTTACAAGGTTATTTTCGATAAGGAAAAGTTAAGCTATTTCTTCTAAGATCATAAAGACGTCCTTTTCATTCAATAGCCCTTCTCTTATAGTATGAGGTTTTTATTCAAAAAAATAAAATAAAGTTTCTTTAAATAAAACTTTTGTTTCAGAAAATTTAAAAATTCTAAAAAGAAAGTGTAACTACCCAACTTTATTTTCCAACAAAAATCGTCTAACCCAAAAAAGGCTTTCAAAATCGAAAATATGTATTGAGTTGACNGTATGTTCCCGATGTTGGGACAACTGGTAGTTGACGGGGGAAGGCAGCCGTCCATTAGGGCCAAGTGAGTAAATTAAGCGATTACTGGGCATTTCAGTATTCAATTGAAAAGCCATATAAATCCTTGAATTTTCAGCTATAATAGAGGATGTCACATTCACAAGTTGAAGATTTCCCTGATCGGGCACAACTTCCTCCGGCGATTGTCCGCCCAGAAAATATCTTTTCACGGTGGAAGATCCGTCGGTGCTCACCCACCCTACAATCGCACTGGACCCCACCATTTTCCCGTCTCGTGAAAATCCCATCCCTATGTATGAATTGGAATTGGGTGCTGATAGTACAAAGCTCCATACTTTTGTATCCGTTTGCATATACTAAATAAATAATCACGAAAAGTGTTACTCCTATCCTATATAAGAAGTAAATAAATAGAGAAAGGTGTTTGTTAAAAAGACTTACTCTTAGGATATAGTTTTGTGCAGCCCATACTGAAACACAATGAAAAGAAGAAGTATCAAAGAGAGGTTTGTTTTTGAGGTTAAGATTGGAATTACATGAATCTGTGACTTGACAATCTACTTGAGAACTCAATATTTGGACGAAGAAAAACAAGGCAAAAATATTAAAACATGTCTTCATCTCTAGCTTCTCTCTCTCTCTCTCTCTCTCTTTTTTTTTTTTTTTTTTGTGTGTGTGTGTGTGTGTGTGTTTTCTCTGTTTGATAGAAAAGCAATGATTTTTAGTTAATGTAGAGAGAGAGTGAGAGGATGAAGTAGTTGACCTAGTTGATTTGTTTATGGGGAGTGGGTAGTGGGAGTATTATAATATTCGGAAACTTAATTAATTCATTTGGTAATAACATTCGTATGAAGACTAACTTACCTCTGTTTTATTTTAAGAAAGAAAAATAGTGTGATGATTGATTGAGATTGTAAATTTCTGCGTCACTGTATTTGGCTGGCGTCTCTATTCTATGGCCTACCACTGATTACAATCTAACTTTTATTTAATATCTTTTACTACGTGTTATTAATCAATAGGTAATGTAAGTAGTAATTTTTAAATGTTGTACGTATGTTACACACCTGAAATTTAAAGACAAATTCATAATACCCAAAGGATATCAATAGGAAAAAATAATACAATCGGACCTGACATAATTTTATAACCGCATTTCTTTATAGAAGCCAAAATTTTCCTACTCCGTAATACTTTAACGAAAGACTAAAGGGAAATTGGCAAATAAAGAGCAATGGGTCATCCTGAAAGAAATCTTAGCTTCGTGGCTTTGTAACTTTTTTGTGGGCCCTTTCTTTAGTAACCTCTTTTTTCACATACACCCTTCCAAAAAAAATATACAAAAGAGATGACCTTCATTTTCTTGTGACTCTCGTCAGTCGTTTGAGTTGCTTCCGTTCATTGAGTTACCAGTTATACCAAAATGTTCCAAGGGAAAACAATGTAGAGGAATTAGTACTACTATTTAAAAAAATAATAATTCTACTGTTCTGTATCAGCCAATAATAGCAGTTAATCTTTCACCCAAAAATGGACTGTTCAACAACCTCATCAAAATTAGTTAATTGGATATTCGTCTCTCTTTAGCAAGGGCCAAATGTGAGTTCTATTTACTGCATTTATTTAATTGTATTCCCAACTATCTTTCCTTGTTTAGGTTCATTTTCTTTTCTTGGACGTCACAAATTCGTTTTTGACTTTACCCGTTACTGAAATTAGGGACCATCACAGGTAAAAACTTACCTGCACCGGGTATTTACACCAGACCAATAGATATATGACATGTGTATTGCATATGGACTTCAATCATTTAACCATGGTAAATTACATGCATTCTCATCTAATTAAATTAATTAACCATAGTGAGTTACTATAATTTGGTGTAAACACTTGGTGTGGTATTATTTACGGACTATCACATTCGTACCATCAAGAATACGAAATGAAAGAGACTTCAGCACCCTAATAGAACCGAAGAACCCAGTCGGACTTCATTTCGCAAAGTTTGTTTTACATCTGATAGATGCAATCAACTTTAATTGTTTTTAGTTACTTGTATTTCATTTTGATCGTTTCCAAAACCTGCAGGTTTAAGATCTGGCAAAAATATTACCAAGATTTTAATATGTTTTAGACGCTTTTATGTGATTAGAAATTATGGGAAAGAATTGACTAAACATGCTTATGTCTAAATACACTTATTTTGTAACAGTTGGAAAAACAAAAACGACTTCAACTATATGAGCTAAAACAAAGGGGAAACAGGGGGAAAAGGGTGGGCAAGTTTCATAGGCCAAAGGAGAAAAAGGCTTATGCAGCAAAATAATGTAGATATGTAGAACTGGTTTCAGCTCTCCACCACTTCTTTGTTTCTTGAATGTTTTTCTTGCTCCCCTCATAGGGTTGGTGGTACAAGGGTATTCTTTGGCTGGTCACTCCCACCTACAATTCACCCATATTTTACTTTGTAAAGCCATTGGGAAAACCACTGAGACCCTAAACTGCCTAAACTTCTTGTATAGGATCCTAATATTTCACTAAATTAATACATTGATTTCATGTACAAGAAAACTGATTTTCGTTGGTGAGAAGTTACTTCCGCGAAGAAATGCTGTGTTGGCCTGCTGAAGACACTGCTCCATTGCTTACAGAATGGTGATGATGATGATCTGCTCTTACCCTCCGATAGAAAAGTACATAAGCAGCAGCGGACTTCACATCTTCTTCATTAATTGGTGATATGTGGCTATCATCAAAGTTGTACCATCTATTTTCATCAAGAAGCTGGCATGACGGGAAAGACTAGCGTATTAGCATATGTACATTAGTTATTAGATATTGCAAAAGGAGAGCAAATTATACTTGAGATGCTGATGCAGTACTAGGAGGCCTGTTAATGTGGCAGGATAGATTTGTAATAATTGAACATGGAAAGGGATAAATGAGATGAAAGAAAGCCTTCAATAAGCCAATTTAACCAACTTTAACACTCAATAGGATTGTATCCACGAGGACAATTTTGAAGATTTGATTACTAATTGCTCTGTTATCATTCAAAACTTAAGACTAATACTCTATGTCATGCAACAAGAGAACGCTAGCTAAAACTTCAATGAACTCAAGACAGCATTAGAGGCAATTACTCACCTTGATATGTGCGGTGTAGTGCCCACTTCCCATCCCACCATAGTGATTTGTTAGCGCATACAGTTCATAGAGCTGACGTCGAGAGTTGTTCTTGTTAGCCACGTATTTTGTCAAGTCAAAATCATGAATAGGAAAATTTACAAAAGTTTCCAGCTTATGCTTCATGGACCGGCTGTAGGAAAACCTCTTCAGGTGGATAACAAGCACTTCAGGAAGCCTCCAAAGATCCAACTTCTTACTTGCTTGTCTTCGCTCTTTGCATGTAGGACAATACCTTTAACATATATCCGCAAAACTTGATATAAGCAATAACTTAAAAAGGCAAAAGCTAACAAAGCTATCATGAGGAATGGTATGCGCAGACATCAGGCATATAATGAGCAAATAGTTGTCCTCCTTTTCGTGTAAAATTCTGGCAATAAGAGCAATGAGAACAGGAGGAAACTAACCACATATCCTCGGGGACCAATGGCTCTTCACGTAAAAAGGCTTCCAAGCAACTGTACAATGAAAGAGGTTCAGTACGGGCTTTCTTTGTCGCAGGCCCATATTTTGTGACTTCAGGCAAATTCTCTATGTAACGAGTATCATAATTTTCCAAAAGCTTCTGAGACCAATCAACAAATACAAGTATCGACATTGACGATGAGGACAATTTCACTGATTTATCTTCTCCTACAGTTAGGTCAATGCACGCATTGTTCTCATCAACCAACTGCAGAGGTAGTTTCTCCAAGTTCGCCAGTTTTGAGCTAGACATATCCTTCTGTCTCGGATCATCGTTCGGTAGACTGGAGTCTATACAGCCTTCACTAGCAGTAGCAAGACGGGATGTGTTGGCTGCTGATGTCTTAGAGCGAGAAACACAGTTAAATCCTGGATTTTCTGATCTTAGCATCGGCGAGAGCATTCTGTGAACTATCAACTGTATATCCCCCCTTGTGATGACATCATCACAAGAGATAGGTGAAACAAGAGGTGTCCCATAAGGCTTCCACCCAACACTACTTTGAGAGATTCCAATTTCCCTACAAAGAAAGGCGCAGCATTAGAAGACAGAGGATTGCATATATGCTCTCTTACTAAAATAGCATTTTGAATACCAAGGAAACTTCAACAGTGCCTTGAAGAGATGTAATGAGATACTGAAGAAAACAGGAAATGCATATTAGACCTAAAAGTGCTGCAGACTACTTTTTTCCAAAAGCTTATGGCCCTAGACAAAGTTCAGAATACAACAATGGATTATCACTTTCAAAGATGATAACTCTGCAACTACCTGCTCCAAGGAAAGTAGTAGGTTAGCATTGTACCCACTTCTTATTTCTCTTAAATACCCTTAATAATACCTGCTAGCTCATTAAAATAGAGACTTTTTGGTCTTTTGAATAAATTCATCAATTCTTCTATGAAAATCCTGACTACTGTCTCCAATTAACTCTCTGTAGAAAAATTCTGGCAGGAATCATTAGTTCAATTTTCTATTCAATTTTCCATTATTAACTGAAGATATCTCTTCCATCATTGAGCACAAGAAATATCAAAATATAATAAATTCTTCAATTTTCCAATACGTGATTCCTCATTGTTTTGGATTTTTGCTAAACCCAGCAACACACAGTGTCAAGATTAGCAAGAACAAAGGCTTCGGTCGACTTCTGGATCAGAGTGGAGGAGGCTTTGAAAGAACATTGCTTTTCGCAAAGCTCATTAGACCATGAGAAGAAACTTCTGTCTTTTGATTCTTTTTCTTTTTCCAATTGGATTTCAATTTCGTTTTCTTTTCTTTTTTGTGAATTTCATTTGAGTTAAAGTTGCGGTGAACTTCAATATGGGTCTGCGAAAGGAAGAAGGGGAGAGGGAACAACGGGAAGGGGATCTGGTGGGGAGGGAGGGAGAAGTGAGGTTTAGTTCTTGAGATGGAAGACAAAAATAGTCATTTTACTAAGGTGTTACCATTGTATCATCAGGGGTATTTAAGAGAAATGAAAAAATGGGTACAATGCTAACTTACTATAGCCATGTGTGTGTGTGTGTGTGTGTGTGTGTATATGCAGATGAAGAATATTGGACAGCACTCGATCAAATAAATCAGGAGGCAACACATTAACTGCCTATATCTAGTGGTGCAAACAAGGTACACATTATGCATACCGTTCTTCCCTACGGTGTATCAGTTGAAGAAACTTCGAGTTCTTTGCTAATTTTGGAATCTTGTAGGCCGCAAGGTGATCATCATCTTTGATAGAAGACAAAGATATTAGAGGATCTTCCAGAAAACGATGAATCAAATGGCCGCGTATCTACGAGCAGGACACAAATCAGGTGAGACCCAATTAAACATCAAGTATTTCATGCTTGAAAGGTAACTTGAGTAATCAGAGGACTACCTCAGCAAGCAAAAGTTTCTCAGTGTGCTTTAAGGAACAAGAATTACCAAGTGCCTGAATCAAGTCCCTGCAACGTCCCTGCTTTGGCACTGTAACAGTGCAAGCAGCTGGAAGTGCACTTCCATCGCAAGTGAAAATTGTTACTGTCATACTTCGTGTTGTGGCAGATTGAAGCGGCAAAGAAAGATACATGAATGGATCAAATGTTACTGAGACTTTATTACAGACAGGACACACTAGAGTT